AAAAAAAAAAAACCCATTTAAAAAAAAACCAAATATATATATATCTTTGAACAAATTTTGTGGAAGTTTTTTGTGGGGCAAACAAAAAACTAACATTTTACGCAAAAAACACCCAGTTCTCAATAAACAGACAAATCACAAAACATTCACTTCTCAGAAACAGACAAATCTAGAGACAGCAGTGGCAATCACAATAATTAACATATCAATCCAGGAACTGAACACAGGTATGGACAGTGTACTGTAGACGATAATCCCCACGGGTACCACAATAGTTCTGTATGAGTGTATAAAGTCTCTGGGGTCATGACGCCAGCCATTTTGGAGTAAAGTACAGAGCAGTTCTAGCCCCCCGCAGTGTAAGAGCTGTCCATGGAGCACTGAGCTGCCACTGTCCAACAGGACATCCGTTCTGGGCTGAGACGCACACGTTGGTAGGCATGGTAGAAAGCAGGTGTAGGTTAGAGGTGTGCATGTCCGTTCTTTTCGGTTTTGGTGGGTTTGCAGTCCAGGAGGAAAAATTATCGTGTGAGAAAAGTGTGACGCCTGTGTGTATTGCTTTTTTTTGTGGAGTGATGCTTTGGTGTCAAGGGCATCACGAGACACTGAATGTGCATCTGCCAGTCGAGCCTGTTTGAGTGCTGAGGTGCTGTGGAACCAGTGCAGGAAAGGGAGAGTCCGTCAGAAAGAAAGGAGAGAGTATGGGTGCTGTAACACAGCCTCTAGTGCTGAGAATTCTCTGTTGGCTGTCCGTTCGGGATACTTCCATTATTCTGCTCCTCTTCCTCTTCTTCCTCCTCCTCCTCCTCCTCACTAACCAGAAACTCCTCTGGGGGCCAGCGAAGCTCCCCGCTCTCGACTTCTCCCTCCGTTGGCTCAACCACGATGGATGGCAGACGATCTTTGAGTTTACAGCAACGGTCAAAGTCTGAGGGGTCGGGGAATATCTAAAGAGGAAAGACAAGCGTAAAATACTGGTTATTAATCTTTCATTAACCTCTGGAGTTAGTACACTGAGGCCGTTTCAAGCTAGGGGAGTGAGCTGTCCCCTGTTGTAATACAAAAAGTTATTTGTGAGCATATTTCTGATCAATGCTAAGTGTGCGGTATGGTCTGCGATACCAGAACTTAATATTGAGCCTTGTAGAAGTGTTGCAGGCACCACTACAAGGCTAAACAACTGTGAAGGAAGTGATGTGAAGACTAAACATCTGTGACGGGAAGTGCTTAAAATCCCAGTGGCATACCTGCACTTGCCCAGCCCACATTCCTCCAACAGCCAAGCTAGCTTTCCACATACTGTAGGTGCTCACCCAAAAACAAAATTGCACAAGACTTAGAACAGTGGCTGTGAATGGGTAAATGAGGCATGTCTAGCGAGACTTACAGCAAACGCGGCATCGTGTTTAATCTAAATGCTTTGAAAGGCATCGTGCCAAGCAGCTCGTAGCTGCTTACGAACTCATCCAGGACAGACTACTCAGAAGATTATACAAGAGCATAATCATAGTGTTTCAAATCAACAGTAAGCTGAAAACAAACGGTAAAAGTTTACTGTGGCATGATTGGTGCATAAATAGAAACATCCCTATGACAGTCAACATTTAGTGTTGCATATTTTACATTTCTGTGGAGATTGAGTTGGAAAAAAGGTTTAGGAAAGAACATGAAATCTGCAGAGTTATCTGCAAATCCCGACTGATACGTCTGCTTATAAACGCAGCGTGCCACACTCAAATGTTTGGATCTAAACTGAAGGGCATGAGAGACATTCTGACAAGAAAGATTACATGCCTTCCCTGTCCTGGCAAGATTGGACATCAACCTCAGACTTTCTCTGTTCTCAGGAACCGGAGAAATGGCCCAGGGGAAAAAGCCTGCCACTCCTGGTCCAAGAACAGCATTTTTTGCTGTTGTTTGGATAAAGTGGATGAATATTTTTAGACCTGCATATTTCACTCCAAGACATTGGAGGGAGGGGGAGCGATGTCGCTGTCTGGGCAAAGAGCCGAGTGGAAAGAAAGCATTAGATGAAGCAGTAGAGAGACTGAGACAAGAAGAGATAGAGGGGATCCAGCTGTGTCCAAGTCTATGAATTCCATAGGAGACAGATGAGAAGGGAGGGAAAAGACAAAAAGCTATAAATATGCCTTGTGAAAGTGAGAAATTTGTCAGGTTATGAAAGCATGTATGCGTCTACTGGAGGCATCGCAGCTGAGTACAAGACCACGGCAAGGTGTGATTATATGCATCCAACTATGTGAGCCTATGTGTGTGTTCATGTCTAATGCCTGCGTGTATTTGCATTTCCTGGTCTGCATCACCAATCCTCACTGTGTGTCAACACCAAGGGGAGTTAGGCAGTGAATGACCTTGCCTCTGGACCCCTAGCTAACACATGTCATAGCTTGTTTCACTTCCAGTGGGAGGAAGGGACAACACATCATCAGCCAGGCACAATGTTGGCTATTTTAGGCTCTTCTGGGGTGTTCAGTGGGGTTGGGGTTGGGAGGGGGTGCACACACTATACGTCTGAATCATGACATTGCCTTTTGAGATGATAATTCAGTAAATCAGGAACTATTTACTCACCCCTTTTCCACTAGTAGGCCACATTCATTTCAATATCTTTTATAGGTGCAGCTGGAATTTAATGGTCAATGCTTGTCAAAGCCCCCCCACCCCCCCACCAAGCCTCCATCATGGAGGAAGTGACTGATGGCAACATGAAGCAGTGCTTCAGTATGCAATGCTTCTCTAAAGGAGTGGCTGGGACCTTGGGCAAATGGCCGAGGTGAGGAAATCCACAGTGGGGATGGAAAGAGTGTGGCAAAGTGGCACCCTCCTTTTCTCCCGTTTCCCCCTCTCATCCGCTCCTCTCATCCTCTCAGACAGACTCACAGCTGGGGTGTGAACTGTAGGGAAGAGGAAGCCAGCCTTTTCCTCTGGGTCAGTCTGCATCCTCTCAGATGTAGTGTCTTTGTACAGCATGGCATTAGCAGTCTGTCGTATTACGTTTATGGATGTGCACCTCATACAAATAATTCAATCTGGATTGAAATTACCCATCTTTCAACAGGAATTGGCCTTTTAACCCAGCGAGTTGTAAAAGTCACATAAGGTGGAAATTGCACAAGAATATTTTGGTACTCAAGACCTTACGACACCAGCGGTGACTATGACCCACCAGTTTGAGATGCAGCTCCACTAACCATTAGGCCAACTTCCTGTCCAAAAATCAAAATTGACTCAATTTCATCACATTTTAGAGTGAAATGGTTTGGGTAAGATGGGCCCCTTTAATTCTCTTTTCAACCTGGGTACAAATGTGACACTAAAATAAGCAAGCAGCTGTTTGATTAAGTAGTTTTGTTTCCAAGATGGCCCTGTTGAGCTGACAGTAAAACAAAGCTGCTGGCAACACCTTGTCAAGACCACCTGATGGCTGCTTCTCTCATCTCTCTGAATCTGCAGGGTTTATTTTTGTGACAGGCGGTAGTAAATTACACACAATTTTCGAGACAGATATCCTTTGTATGTTTTAAATTGTGACCAACCGTAATCTCAAATTTCCCCTTACAAAACGTATATAAAAAACACAAGTAGAATTTTGCTGCAATATATTTTCTTAGCATAATAATTTGTTTGTGCTCCCACCCAACTACTTATACTTCAGATCTGTAAGTCATTTTGATGTTATTACACCTAAATGAAATATAAAAATATAATTGTCCAAATGGTAAACAAGGTCAAACCTTTCTTAAATGTCTTTTTATAGAAAAACTATTTAGCTTGGTCAAGGGTCTTGTAGCTTAAAAGAAAAACAAAATAGAAAAACAAAAATCCAATGTTAAATAGTAAATTCCAGTGCGTGTGCATGTGTGCGTGTGCATGTGCGTGTGCTTTTTTTCCCTTCTTCCTTCTTCCAGAATCACAACATACAGAGGCTCCTGTTCATGCCGATGTCAATATCAAAATCATGATAATGAATGGATGAAGACCGGTATAAAAATGCTCATGCCACATAAAAATGCATGGGTAATGAATTTTTCAGTGTCATAAGTGTGTGTCCTACCTGAAAGGAGAGTCTGTCCTTGCTGGGGCTGAGCCTCATGTCCTCCATTGGGGTGCTGTTGATCATCACCTCAGTCATATCTCGGCTGGGTACAAACACTGGGCTGCAGGGTTGAGAGAGGAAAAGTTATGCGATTAGATAAAACTACAAAAAGGCTCAGAGTGCTCATTCACAACTGAAAACCAAATATGTTACAATATAATGTGGTCCCTATGTGTTCTGTACTCAATATACTAGGGGACAAGAAGGTTGTATACAGTGAGGACAAACAGATACTGATGATAAAAACTGTTAACGGCATGTAACAAAAAGAGAAAACCAACAAACACCAAATCTATCAAACTGTCCGTATGCACACACACACACACACACACTCAAAGTCTGAAAGTCATTGTTGTTTTACCTGCACATGTTCAGCAGTTTTGTTTATACTCTGCACATCTTGACCACAACATGCCAAGCATCCAGGCTGTGCTGTACTAATGCACTGCAAAGCTGCACAGCTCATGCTGTGGCTTGCATAAGGTGGCCGTTTCTAAATACAGGATGATGTGCTCTTGCACTAGCAACCAGAGAACACAGTCATTGTGAGACTGTGCTGGGGGCGTGCTGTGGTATTTGACTGGGGTGGAACTCTGCACTCAGTTCCATCAAAGCTTGGCCAAACTTTCCATTTTAGATGAAAGTAACAAGAGGTTGTTTATCCATGTTCAGTGCATTCACTATCCAGCATTGTCGTAGTAATACTTTAAACAAATGACTTGAAGCAGGTCCCAGGACTGACATAGTCATGGTCTTGAGACAAGATGCTGAGCGGCCTTCTCACGCTCTCTATTTAAAGCCTGGTGCCTTGTGGTCAGTGGCCACAAGCTTGTGGTTTGTGTGGTCACTGGCTACATAGAACAAAGAAAATGGAACAGGACAAGAGGCTTGCTCACAACCTCACATTATCTGATTCAATGGACTTGTTTTTCAGGGAAAGAGATGTGTAGGATTTGCTTGACCCACTTTTCTTCAATAAAAATTCTTATTTTTGGATACAGCAGAATGGTGCAAAATGATTCTGCAGTAGTGATTAAAACATGGTTTTAAAATAAGGAGTGATTATGTAAACATGTTTCACAGAATGAATCTTACCATTCACCACAGTCTTGTTCATCAAAAAAGTCTATTACTATTGCTTCAAAGTCTATTAGATAACACTCGAAAAAGTGAAAATACTGAATCATTTAAAGTTACACAAACAGAAGTCCCCTTTAAAAAATAAACTGTGTGACATCCTACAATAGTTTTACTTCATCTGCAGTTACAACATGAAACATATTCTCTGGAATTTCTAAGTAAAGTATAGTAAGTGTCTCTCTGTCTCTGTGCATGACTCATACAAAAACTGAATACACTGAGCATACCCTTCATTAACATATCTATACATCTCCTTGTTTACTGGCACATGAATTAGCTTTAAAAGTAAAAATTGTTTTAGTGTTGAACAGTTGAAAGAAGAAATCTTACACATTTCTTAGAAATGAAACTGGAATTCATGAGCAGCAAACTTCACCCTTGTTCATTCTGGTGCTGCTACAGCCTTTTACTTGGTCTGGAGTGACCAGTACTTTATGGTGGCTAATGTCAGAAAACTTTAGATATCGTCGTGTAACTGACAGTTTGCAGATAAAGACTCTTCTCTACTGCACTACATTTAAGCATTTAACATTATACTTGTGAGGCCAAAGGTGATATTCAGCAAAAGTTAAAGAGTCTCACTTTAGAATTCAAGTATTCAGTAACAACAAAATGAGTCCCCCCCCTAAATTGTGGCGATCAGGACACAATTTCTGATAAAACCACCAGGAGACCATTAACCCTTAAGCAATGGTATCAGTATTTCCATCCCTGTATTTACACACACACACATACACAACCCTTGTCTGAGGAAAAATTGACACCACAGCAGGGCGTAGGGTGCTTCTTAAAATGAGAAAACTGAAAAGCTTCTCGCTGGATTACAGTAAATTAACCTTTACTACACCAGTAGGACGACGCAGCATACTTGGCTGAAACAATACCCGGATATCCAAAAATAAAAAGGAGGCTTGAAGGATACGCCAGGTTTAACATGGAAAAAAATAATATCAGCTGGGGCTGCTCTTGAAACTTATTTCATCCTTGAGTGGGGTGCAGAGAGGGTGAGGCAGGCATGCAAAAAGCAGCAGAGGAGGGGATGGAGGGGTGAACAAGTGACAGTGAAGACCTGAGCAGAGGAGGAGAGGGGAAGAGAGGGAGGGAAAGGAAAGAAAGATAAACACTCAGGCCTTGCCAGTCATATTTCTGTTCGGGGATTGTATAAACATCCTGCTCGGCTAAGAATAACAGAACATCGGCCTAATAAAACATAAAGGGGCACAATGAGGAGGAAGTGGGGGTGCACGAGTAACAAGTCAACCTGTGAGGAAACAAACATACACAGACTACAGTTACATCTATCACTGCTTCAAGTGTCAAGCGGGGCTGTACAGTGTACAGAGTGAAAATTGATTCATAGAGGAGACATTAGGTAATCTATAAGTAAGTGACCTGTACATGTATGACATAAGATCACCACGGACCACAGCTTGTAATGGAGTCTACACCCAAGAGCACATTGGGAGGTCACATCTGAATGTGATGATGCCGCAACTGCACTGCAAGAGGCAAGTGACAAGACACATTTTAATCCAAATTGCCATTAATTAATGCATGAGGCTGATGGAGCAGATGGCTCTTTACCTCTTGACCCAGTCAAGATAATGCATATGTGGTCCTGCCAATGTCCTAATGCCACATCCAGCCAGGGCACAGATGGACAGCAGGTACAAGACAGTGTCATGTAACCCGTGTCCAAAACATACATAGGCTACATAACTAGGATTACTAGAGTTTAGAGCTGGAATTAATTGTTGATTAGGTGAGAGAAGATTTATCAGCAACCATTTTTTTAAAATCAATGTAATCAGTCAAAATTCCAGCTTCTCAAAATTCAATAGTTGATTTTTCTTCAAATTTAACATTTTTGGGTTCTCAAATGACAAAACAAGCAATTTGGAAACATCATCCTATACTGAATACAGTGCACTACACTGGATAAATAATCAAGAATTATACATAATACAGACATAATCAATAATGGAAACTATTTTTGTTGTAGTCGTACAAGAGCCGCTCGAGGTGCAGACAAATGCACTGACCCAGTGACCAGCAGAGAAGCAGAACACTCTGTAAAACATCTACTTAACCTCATTATACAGTGACCACATTTCCTGATAGCCTTACCTAAGCATGACACCGGGTTCATCCACCTGTCTCAAGAGTAAACAAGGTCAAGGCCATACTAGGTCCATGTGTATCTGTACTCTAGTGGCGCTGACAGGAGCCCCAAGTGGTCCCTGCCACAATCTCACTGCACAAGTGGGAGAATTTGCATCTTGCATTATGAACAGCGTTTCCCCCTTTGCCACCCCACAGTTCTTACTACTGCTATCATAAATCTCAGCCTGTGTGGCGACAGGGCAAAGCTGCCCACGTTCCATGCCTGCTCTGAGCTTTCCACCAGCCGAGTCACACCGCTCTGCAGGTATGTGGGTGGTGCGGGGACTGAGTAAGACCCCCCAAGAGTTTGCTGGAATGAATGGGTTGTATCCAAATTCCTGTGAGTTGAGTCTGCCACTGAAAACACATCATGGATGAGAGACCACTCCACTGCCTTAAATGTAATCTTTTAAAAAGGTGGGAGTGAAATCTTATTGACCTTATATGCCTAGCAACTTGCACCAAGTTTTCTATTATGCTGCTACGTATACATGGTTGGCTATTGTTGTGAGAAAAATGGTTTCCTGTTCACACAGACACACAGTACAGACATTAAAAAAAGAATTAAAAAAAGAATAAAAAAAAAAAAGAAAAGAAAGTTCAGCATGCAGATCCAAGTCAAATAATGCTCAGAAGTTTTTTTAGCCCATCTCTGAAATAAAACTAACCCGGCAGAAAAAGTAGCATTACAGAGCAGAGAAGCATAAGTCTACTGTAAGTAAGTAAGCAGAGGCAAGAAAAAGCAAAGTGTGGTTACAGTAAAGAGGTCGATTCTGAACTTCCTGGTAGAGACAGCCAGAAGACTGCTGAGGTTTGAACAGCGCTCGCAAACAATGTTTCAAAGAGACTTGCATATCCTCTCTACAGACAGGAAAACAGTCGACAGATAAGAGAACAGAGAGGCTCAAATAAGCAAAGATGCACTCACTATTCCTGTGTCAAGAAGTAACTAAATGAGTCAGAGTACTGATTTCCAGAAGACATTGTGGGGAAAAAATAAATATGATACTGATCATAGGATAGTAGTAATAGATAGGATCAGAGTGCATCCATCCTTCTCCAATTGCACTGCACCTGCAGCACTAAAGACCAAAGGATGAAAGCAGTGTCTTAGTCTATTCAGGCGTTTCAGGATACAACAAAGTAAGCCTGTGTGCTTCCTGGTTCAAAATAGGGTCTTGAAAAGGGGATTAAAATGGCGTTTACCCTTAAATAGAGTAGCTGAAAATAAAGAAGACACTGTGTGACCACGCTGACCTTTCTGAATTGGCACATACGGCAACATTTATCAAGCTGGGGGCTGACAACCATTTTCTTACCCCCCTAAAAAAAGAGAGACCTAGAATGTTCTTTTTTCCCCCCCAATCTGTGTGCCATGACATTTCTATTTTCAGGGGCAACACCCCACAGAAAATCTCAAAAGGAAACAAGAGTGGGTGTAGCAACAAAAAGGTGGCTGATTCTGTGGGGGAATTCACCAAGCAAAAATAAACCACAGCTGTATACTTCATTGTTACCTTACCTGTAAGCAAACAATTCTAATGTTAGATAGTTGATTTTCTATCTAACAGCTGAACAAAACAAAACAAAAAAGCACAAATCAAGCAAACCAGTGCTGCTGACACATGTGAGCAGGTGAAAGTGGAAGAAAGATGCGAGTACTCACCAGTATATCTGCGGGGAAAATACAGACATGAATTCACACCTGCTGTCAATTCTGCTGATTAGGGAATGTAATTACAACCCACTGACTTCTCTCTTACTTTTATTGCCTTTTTTCCCCCTGTTCTCCAAGACAGCACAGGACAGTGCTCACGCAAACCGAAAGTAACTGCGACAAGTCTGACGGGCTGAGGACGGGAACGCAGCTCTTTAAATTGGTGCGTCTGATCATCACCACGGTTGTGTTGGGTATTTATGCGAGAGGCGTGTGCTTCGTGCGGCCAGAGACACACCTCCTCTCCAGTCTGCACGGGCACGAAAGAAAACCTCAATGGCAGCTCATTATCAGCAGGAGCCAATCAGAGCACAGGTGACTCGAGGCCCCCTCCTCCTCCTCCTCCATCCTCACCCTCCCCCCAGCCCTGATGACGACAGCAGCCACTGAACCCTCTCATTGGGAATGGACAAGCAGATACTGCATGATGCTATTGATTTGTAGTCTCCAAGGCAACAAAATGACAGTCTTACCTCCTCTTGAATGACAAAAAAAAAAAAAAAACACAAAAACACACTGATTCGCCCGGGGCTCTGCCTGGGCTCATTCACAAATATATATTCCAAGGGCAAGTCAATGTCTGCATATTTCAGCAGCAATGAATGGTCACTCCTGCTGGGTTTTTTGTCTTTTAATATAAAACAAACTATGCAGAGTACATGTGTCCACAACAGCTTGTCCAGTTTCATGAATTATGTCCTCAAAGTATAATAACTCCCAGGACCTTGTGGTGTTTATGTTATGGCCAGGACCTCTAGGGCTTTGTTAACCTTCACACCTTATAAAATGCCCAGTCGTCTTTTCCCCCCTGCACGCAGTGTACTTTACATTTGGCTCAGATAAAGCAGGTGCACACAGGACACATTCCAGTTTTAGGAATAGGTGGTAAAATGCCAGTAGGCCTCTACTGCCATCTTGTGACATTCAGATGGATAACGTGCTCTTAGTTGTCTCATTCATAATAATAAATATTCAGTGTCACTTTGGAAGATGGTACTTTAGGGTACATCTTTAAATATTCTCATTGTCTTTGTGGTGACATGGACACCACATTATAATGCTGCTCACAACATCAGCGAATCTGGCAGTTTGCAAATGCCCTTTATTAAAATCTCTCGGGTGATGGCAGATGGCCCACTTGCCCTGCAGAAATAGACAGTTTGTGCATCTGATTTTAAAATGCTCAACAAAGAGTTTTCTTTTTTCTTCTATGAAGATTTTTGATAAACTGATACTGAATATAAATGTGATAATGTAAGACAAAACAATAAAAAAAAAAAAACTCTGGTACACAAAGCTTGACACCTCAATGCTTTTCTGTATTGTGTTGCTATACATTCAAACTGAATAATAAATACGATATGCTATACTGTTATACTTTCCTCATGTTTACCATTGTACACCTTGCCTCAAAATCTTGGTTGCTTTGAAAATAAGTGAGAACAATCAAAGGTCAGACATACTGTAGTTCAGAGCTGAAAACAGAGGGTGTGAACCCAGACTTCAGCAAAGATTTTCAAAAAAACTATAATCATGAGGCCTCATTTTGGGCCTCAGTGGGCATCTCTTTAGAACTTAGATGTTACTGAGTACAGTTTATCTTTGGCTCCTTGAAGAGAATAGATATATAGTCTGAATAATATGTTGGAAAACATAACTTAAAGCAATAAACTTTTGACCATATAAATTTGAATGTTCACAAATTCTACTACAGTCACTGTGTTTAGATATACAGCGATGCAGTTAAGCTAAATATAGGCTACTGTTGAAGACAGGAGTTGGTATGTGAAGTATTTACTGGAAGCAATTGTAAAACTGTGCAGGTTCAAGATGAGGAACTAAGAGCTAAACCAAAGGGATTGTAAAAAAAAGAGTTGGTACATTGATCAGAACTGTATATATAGTATAAAATGTTCACAGTCAAATTAGTTGCAAAGTCTCAGAAGGAAACAAACACCATCAGTGAAATTGAACAACATTAAAGGTCCAGTGTGTAAAATTTAGGAGGACCCATTGGCAGAAATGGAATATAATATTCATACGTATGTTTTCATTAGTGTATAATCACCTGAATCGCTCCATGGAGTCTGACATGTTGAACCACCATGTTTC